TGCAATCCTCTAATTCGTTTGATGCTATTCCGTTTGCCAAGAGTTTTCCCTCAGGGCTTACAATTCTGAAGCTTTCATTTCAACATCGGACATACGGACGGAAAATGCCGTCCATCCGTTTGCGGCCGAAGACCAGGCCGAAAAGTGGCAATATTTCACCTGCTCAGGACTTGTTCGGGTCGAAAAGCTGCTTTACGAACTTTATTTTCATACGTGCTCTACAACGGTGGGAACGCTCTGGTACCCCCCCCAAATATATATATTAATTAACATATATATATATATATATATATATATATATATATATATATATATATATATATATATATATATATTAATATATATATTATATATATATATATATATTCCGTCATGCAGATTACATTCATTTTAAAGGATTTCTAACGTTATTTTGCTGATGAGATCGCGTGCCATATTTTGTTTCCCGATATTTTTCATTTGTTTGTTTTAAGGTCACCGTACGCACCTCGATAGAGCAGCTGTATCGGCTAGTGCGCTCAGGCGCAAACGCGAGGAAAACACCTGGAAGAAGTCAGATCCCCTCGCTGGTCCAGATCAAGTCCTTCCCAGACGTTTCCCAAATCCTTCCCGAGGCTTTTCATTGGTCTTGTCTACCCCGCCAGCCCTCAGTAAGGGCTCCCCGGAAAGTTCAGCCGTTAACTCTTCTTCGGCCGTTGACGAGCCTCGACCGCCAGGTGCTCCACGGAATGTTCAGCCGTTAACTCGTCTTCGGTCGTTGACGAGCCTCGTCCGCCAGGTGTCGTACCTGATCGTCGACTCCCTGGACGTGCGCCGGCCGCCGCTCGTCAAGCCGTTAAGTCGTCCTCGGCCGTTGACGAGTCTCGGCCGCCAGGTGCCCCCCGGAATGTTCAGCCGTTAACTCGTCTTCGGCCGTTGACGAGCCTCGGCCGCCAGGTGGCGTACCTGATCGTCGACTCCCTGAACGTGCGCCGGCTGCCGCCCGTCAAGTCGTTAACTCGTCTTCGGCCGTTGACGAGCCTCGGCCGCCAGGTCGTACCTGATCGTCGACTCCCTGAACATGCGCCGGCCGCCGCTCGTCAAGCCGTTAACTCGTCTTCGCCGTTGACGAGCCTCGGCCGCCAGGTGTCGTACCTGATCCGTCGACTCCTGAACGTGCGCCGGCCGCCGCTCGTCAAGGACATGTACTTCGACGACCCGGGTCTGACGCTGCCGTACACAGAGGCGTCCGTCCAGTACAAGATCCCGACGTACCGCGGATCAGTCGACAGCATGAAGTGAGTGCTCGTGCAGAGGCGGTCGTCACGGTCTGCTGCCGGCAGACTCACCAGAGGTATGACGTCACTTATGACGTCATGGTCCGTTGCGCGGCAGAGACGAAATGGGGATTGGACGTCTTTTATGACGTGGCAACCGCATCACAAACCGCATCACAGGACTGACCTACAGCTTAGTGGTGTTTGCTGTGTCCTGCGCTTTTTACAGTCGTCTCGGTATGGTGCACTTTTGCACAGCCAATTTTATTTTGCTGTACGCTGCATGCAGAAGCCAACCAGGATCTGTCATGTAGCCCCAGCATTGTGATCTTTTCCTACAAGCCCTGACAAGAAATGTGTTAACTTAAACCTTTTAAGGGTTTGTGTAACACCAATACGAAACTACAACACGCGGCGGCAAAACACAGCTAATACGACATTTAAGCCCTTGTTAAAATGCAGTGCTATGAAAACATGTGCACCGGGAAGTTAAGTGTGCAAAATGTTTGTAAGCTGCAAAAGTGTTTGAGCATTATCGGTCATTTTCAAATCGTGTGCATTTGATGGACTTAGTGCAAACTTGGTTGACGTAGGTTCTCAAGATCTGATGTTGACGTATCTATCAACGTTGCTGAGGCTGTCAACTTTTGTGGAATCCTGGCAACCTTTGCCCTCTTGTCGTCAGGGCGTAAATACGAGTTCTTCCCAATCGTTTAATGCTGAACTATATCCTAATCCAGGAGTCCAAAGAGGCTATGTAAAGGGCCAGAATGGGGGGCATGTCGGTGCTAGGTGCGTGTTCCTGCCGCCGTGGGAAAGACCGTGCATTCAGAGACCGCGGTATTGTAAGTACCTACCCCCCATTGCTATGCACCGCGCCTACAACCTAGAATCACATGTTTTTTTACAACAAGCCCTCTTGTTTCAATGTCATAACTCACGAAGCGCGTAAATTCAGTTGAACGTATGGTTTCTGCCTTATCTGTTTATCGTAGATGAATATGAAGATGTTCTTATTCGGACACACTCTACCGGCTCAGCCTGTGGGCCCAAAAGCCTGTGGAAGAAAGCACGTTATAACAGACACGGAAATAAGCCATAAAACACAAACTTGAAAATTACCCCGTGCATGACCACAAAAATCCACCGGGCACTCAACGGATGATTAACAGATGGTATGTCGCACAGCTCCCCCGCCCTAGCTGAGTATTGTCATACGCATAACACGTATTGTTCTCCAGAAATTCAGAGACGTTTTCACGTGCTAGGCGTGTCTGCCTCTTGTACCAGCGCTCAGACTCTGAGCGTTGGTACAAGAGGCCCGCTGAACGAACATGCCCTCTGAGGACATGCCCGGAATTCGAAGCCCATGATTGTGTCGAGAATGCGGTGCGCTCCGCTGTTCTTGTTTCGTGCAAGCCACTATTCGACCCATTTCCGTTTTTAACAGCTGTGGATCTAACCGCCCGAAGGCGCGTTTTTACCAGCACATTGGGGCCACCGCTGTGGTCTTGGACGTGGCTCAAGCCTCCTTCACATGCAGCGTTCTTACAAAACGCACCGCGGGGCCGGGAGAGACTGCAACCCTGTCTTCCCACGTCCTTCCGACATGAAAACCTGCTTTTGAAACTTCCGACCTGCTTTTAGAACATCGCAATGAACCCAATTTTTAGCAGAAAGTGACAGCTGACTCTTATACGGTAAGACCCTTGATTATACGGTAGACCACGCGTTTCGAGCTCGTGATTTCGATGTTATCTAGAGAATGT